AATAACAAAAGCTGAAGAGCTTTAGCCTAGGGATGATCTGCTTTATACTGACTTGAGAGAGTCCATATAGAGTGACAAAAAGAAAGAGATTTAGCTTTAAAATTCTCCCAAGAGAGACAGCATTGTAACTCAGGCTGGAAAGCCCAAATGCTGCATACTTATAGGCTTAAACATACCAGCCTCTCAAAATTAACATTCAGCTACTGCCTGCTTAACATCTGCTCATACATGACAAGTTGCTGTGATATTTTTATATTAAAATGACTTTCTTCTATGTTATTACTGAAACGAATAAGTAAATAATATGACTCCCATATAAATTTATAGGTAGCGATAATCTTTAATGAATAGTAGTTTTTATGAACACAAAATTGGCTTCTTTAAACAATTCATTAGAAGTATAGCTTTGATTACTACCCTATCTGTGACAACATATCTATAATATGTCATTAACACAAAACCTATGATCCAAGCAACTTGACTGTATAATCAATAAAATACAGTCTGTTTGAAAGCTCATAGCTGCAGTTTACACTTCTTACATACTTTTTACTCCTTTGATACTGAAGCAGTAACATATTTTAAAAGACTGTATTTCATAAAAAACAATACTGCCAGTTTACTTTCAGAAAACAATACTGTAAATGAAAATACCGCTGTATGATTTTAAAAGCATACTGTACATCAGTGTTGAAATCTCTCTTCTGTACTTTAAAATGTAATGCTTTAATAGCTCTCATATTTCGAGACTTTTGAGGAGCATTCAGACATGTTAACAATGTTGCACATTAGTGAGTGCTCAATGCTAGTAATTAGCATTTACCAAAAGAAACCCACCCCCAATAATCTGAAAGACAACTCCTACAACTGTGAAAACATCAGATTTCCAGTGTAAAAAGATGGATTGGAATCCAATCCTCAGTCTAGCATGTTATTACTTGAACATGAAAATACCTAAGTTTTTTAAAATAAGAAAGAAAATGTGTACAACATAAATGAATGTCTTAAAATGTATTACAACACTGTGATATAGTTAAAAAGGAATATTCAGAACATATGATAAAAAATCCCATTGAATGAAAAAGTATAAAGAACATGATACCAAGTGTCAATTCCCAATTCTCCTTGCAAAAGATTATCAGAACTCCTTTTAAACTCTTTATCAGGAAATACGTCTTTTGACTGTTGAAAGAAAAGCTTATATTGGCACCTTTCCTATGTTTGCCAGGTGAAGCAATTTTTAGCCACTCAGGTCTTTTATACAAATAAACCTTGAGCTGTATGTGCTTCTTTTATCTGACCAATAAACTGTTTTAGGCAGTCTCTGTTACAAGGAAAGTAAATGCTGCATTGTATTGTACTCTTGTTTTTAACTACAGCATACTGTATTTTTAATACTGTATGTATTTCAATTGCTCTATACTCTATGCAGAAAATATTTGTAGACATATAAACATATAAATATATGAATTATATAATGTTTTGCAAACAACACTTTTTTCTAATCCCATAATTAATTTAGGAATAATCAGGACCTCAAAATTTAATTCAAATTTTATGCTTTTTAGATCAGGATGCATCTAAATAGAACCTCATACAGTATATGCTAAAAAGAACCTCAGCTTTGCTTTTAAATCTACTCATTTCTGAGTATAATGACAATTTTAAATCATAGTATCTTTAAGCCAGTTTCTAGGAGTTAAATTACAAGACGAGATGTGAACCCTCAGAGTTCACATATAAACAATTTGGGCTTTCAGGATCTGCACTGTCATATCTACTTCCTAATTACATGTTTCAGAAATATGTAAAAAATGAACAAGGTATACATTTGCAGCTATGACATATGACAGCAAAATCTGAGAACTGAATGGAAATTGCAATAGTTGTCCTCTGACTGTATTCCAAATATGTTCATCAATAAAATGAACAACAGGAAATTAATACATAATTTGCATATATGATGAAGCAGACAAAAAAGCAACAGTTATCTTCTAGGCTAAAACATACATACAAATTCCACAGATATGTGGCAAAATATTATACTGTTATATCAAATAATTTTGTAGATTTTTGCTCCCATCCTGCGATTTAGAGTATTATCAAAACAAATTTGCAAATAGCAAACGGTGGCTTATACGATAAAAAAACAGTATATCACAGAAGTGAGTACACCTCCTCACATTTAATAAATATTTTAGTATATCTTTTTATGTGAAAACACTGAAGAAATGACACATGGCTACAATGTAAAGCAGTGATTATACAGCTTGTATAACAGTGTACTGTGGTGCCTTGCTTAACGGGCGCCCCGTTTAACGACGAATCTGCATAGCGATGAAGATTTTGCCATCGCTTTTGCAATCACATTGCGATGTTCCCTGTAGGGAAAAATCACTTTGCGATGATGGCTTCCCCCCCATCATCGCAAATGCCCCATTTTTGCACAGCTTGCGATGAGGGAGGGAAGCGATCGTCACAGAAAAGAGCTGGGAGCCATCTTCTCCGCTCCAGCCCCTCCCCCTCCCCACCTTACAGCTGATCAGCGCTGCTCTTAGAAGCTTCCCCAGGCTTGCCCAGCAGGTAAACAGGCAGTGGAAATGCACTGGGGAAGCCTCTGAAAGCGGTGCTTTGCCAGGGTGGGGGTGGGTGGGGGTGTGGCAGGGGTAGGCCCGCCACC